GCTGTCCTCGACCAGGAAATCAGGGCAGTTCCAGGACATGCTCACAATCCCGTCAGACTCGTGTAGCAGAACATGGGCAAGCATTCGTCCGTGACAGTCCATCACTATCACTTGACCATCTGCTGTACCAAACAAGACCTGTGGGGACATTGAACATTAAACTTTAATGGATGACATGATGAAAATGTTCTGGAGCATCAAATACTTGCCCAACAAGTGCTGAAAAAAGCATATATACAATTGCTATCCTTAAATACAAGATGAAATATATATATATATATATATATATATACACACATATATACACATACATACACACACACACACACACACACACATATACACACACACATATATATATATATATATATATATATATATATATATATCTCATCTTGTATTTAAGGATAGCAATTGAATCAAGGGGGAATTACCTCACCCTAGAAGTAATTTTTCTTCTTAAAGATGACTATTTTATGTTTAAGGTTAAATAATACAAAAAGTCATTAATATAAGCTCAACCAGACCATGTGTACCTGTTGATCATCAGGTGTCCAGATTCCACAGGTGATTTGACTCTCCAGGTTAATTTCGGAGGACCAGTGTCTTTGTCCGCTGACCGAACCAACTAATACAAAGCCATCCCTGTAGGCGATGAGGGCTTGAGTGCCATCATGTGACCAAGTGAAGTCACTCACCTGGAGTAAATAAATGTTCACCTTCAAGACATTTGTGTATATATACTGGACATAAGATAATACATAAGTCTTAGTACTTTCTGGTGTAGTTTTTATGTGTCATCAATTGCATTACAGATGTTTTATGTGTTAATATATATACCAGGATATATATTTGGAATGACAAGTCAAGTTCATTTTATTTGGCAAACCGCCCCAGATCATTTTTTAAATCTATAATTTCAAGGCTTCCATGTCACTGCTACTCAGCAGCAAAACTGTCATTCTCTTTAGTCAGTCTTTAAGTGATAGCAGAAAAGTGTCTACCTGGGCTCCTCTGTCGTTCACCAACTCTACAGACCATCTTCCTTCATACTGGATCCATACAAAAATACCTCCTTCCATATCACAAGTGGCCAGCTTCTGAAAGGGTTCATTCCAACGCACCAAGACAACCTGCAAAAGCCCAAAAAGCACTGTTACTATTTTTCGCAAACAGAGGTGGCTTTCTGCACAGAGGAACATTCATGATTAATAGACAGTATGAGCTGAGGACAGTGCTAAAAAAGCATTTCAGGCTGAAAGTGATTTCTAAGCCCACTACAGTTGGAAGGAAAGTCAGCATCCAGAGAAAATTAAGAAATTAGTCTGTAAAGAGATATATTTGATGAGCTAAATATACAGTACGTATTTTACAATGCATGCCGAGACATACCTTATACATATGTCAGGTGTTCTATACAACATACTATGACCTATTACTCTATACTGTAACAAATATTGATGTTTAGATCATGGTGGATGATTCTGTAATAGGGAGTTAGATATAAATACAGTCAGTTTTGTCAGAACGAGTTCCAAGTGGGAAGGGGATTAACACAGAGGGGAAAATGAGAGAGAAAAGTAAAATAAAATTCCGTGGAATTGCTCTTTATGTATTTTACTCTCTTGATAAATAAAAATATATTGCATAAAAAAAGACAGCGAAGTCAGAACCACACCTCGCTGTTGTGTCCTCGCAGGTTGAAATTGATTCTCTGAGGTGTGGTTCTGTCCCTCCTGCAGTGACTGGATGTAAACGTCACCCCAACAACTCCTCTCCCGTTCCCTGTGGCGAGCCAGCCCTCCTCATAGTACCGTCTCCGGCACACTGGCTTGTCCTTTTCGCTCTTGGGGACCCTGCCTTTCCACGAGAGGCAGAGGATGTTGGAGTCGCTGCAGAGGATGGGACCATGTTCCACGGCAGCCAACATCCCTACTGAGTGACCAGGCTGGTAGGTAAAGCAGAGGAAGAGACAAGTTGAAGCTGCACTATACAACTTCTTTTTGTTGACCAGATTCAATGTACATTATCAGTTTGTGTTGGTCTGTTTCATAAATTTACTTAAAACGTTGACGTTCATTTAGGACATAGACTGTTGGCTGTAGAAATGGTCAGCAGGAAGCTGGGTTGTGGGTACTCAGGCAGGGAAACCATAAGAAGACGTACAATAAAGCAAACCATGAAATAGTCGAGACTAAAAGTTCATTCATGACCTTAGAAACAGTCTCACTTCTTGTGCCTTGTGCTGACTCCATCTGCTAAGGAAGATTGTGTGATAAGCTCAAAAGCCCCAGCAACTAAATTAACCTTGTGGTGAGATTATTCTGCAGATCACTGTTTCCAAGGTCAAGAATGAATTTTCAATCTCAACGTTTAAGCCAAAATGGACGAGGAGTCCTTAAAGTGCTCAGAAAAATAAAAGATTTCAACACCTGTGATTCCATGTCAACTGGGCAAACTGATACAACCATAAGGTCCAGACCAGCCACTAAATGGATCTTGTGGTGAGATTGTTTTGTCAAAACAAATGCAACCGCTAGCTTTGCATATACTGGTGACCAAGACATGAATCATCAAGATGAATGAAAGTTGAAAAGTTGCATGTTGAAAAAAAAAACACCTCTAAAAACCACCAATAACTTATAATTTGTAGAACATTATAAGTTATAACTACAGCACAGATACCCCTGGGCGTCACCTGAGCTGGTTCACAGACATCAAATTAGTGACTGAAACAAGGGGCTCATGTGATCTTTGTTTGAAACAGTCCATTAAAATGATGTATCTTTTGGGTGAGCAGAGCTTGCAACAGTGAATCACTAAATGTGCCCTTAAAACCAAAAATCACCATGGCTGCTGATCATAGTGTTCTAGCTGTTGTTCTATTATTCACCGTCTATGGAGCAGCTCCAGGATTTGTCTCTAGATGACATCATCACTACAGTCAGTCTTTTATTTGTACAGATTCATAAATTAAAACTTAAAGTACTACTGAAATACTCCCATGTATAGTTTGGAGAAGCTAACTCTCCGATTACAAATATCTGTGTAAGGTTTATCTATTTACACATCAAACACATCCCTTACAGCTTTGCCATTTTACTTCCCCTTAAGTAAGTTTCTGGTTAAAATAATCTTATTCCAATGTCTGACTCTATTGCATAGTCTTTTTTTTCTTGTTTCATCTCTTTATTGAACTACATTATATTTACACGAGTAAGATAACCCAAGACATATTTTTGGCTGCATAATTCATTACATTATACATATTTGACTGACTTGCTATCTTGGGAAACTTTGGATCTCCTCTGAAATTTAAAATCAAGTTCTGTTAATCTGAATAATGTTTGGCTGCACAGAATGAGATTATACTGACTGGCCTTCTAGCAAGCAGACTACATAATATGTATAAAATATGGCCAAGCTGTAAAATTACTGTAAGTTTCTGATCTAACATACCTCATAGTTCCTGGGCATGTTGAGTCAAAAATCCTCCATTGAATGTGTCCATATTTCCATTCAGGTGATGCACTGAAGGGTAAAAGCTGATCTTCTCTTGGGACTTACAATAAAACCTATGGGGAAGTAAAAGGCATCATACAGCCAGATGTTGTCCAGCTCTGCATTCATTTAAATCAAGCAGGTCTGCACTTGATGTGAGCCTTCTTTGATGACAGTGGCCCACCCCATGTCTTCCCGATGTGGCTCATGAGAGTTGTGTAATCCTGATGCAATGAAGAAGAAAAAAAGACGGATAAAAAAGCAACACACACACACACACGCACGCACGCACGCACGCACACACACACACACACACACACACACACACACACGTTATTCAACAAGTAAGGTAATCTAAAAGATAGAGAGCTTGAGATAGACTCCTGCTTAAAATAGCCGCGTTGTCATTCAGTGCATCAACCTTGAAATTCACAGCTTTTCTCAGTCTCTATGCAACAGCAACACTGCATCAGTGCACTCGCTGTCTCCATGGGTACTGACACTGTCCGTTCATCCTATTTTACGTCAAAGACCCGAGCAGTCAGGCAAGGATGTGAACTCCTCCTATATTGAATTTCTACATGAAAAACACAATTAATTTATTCTAACGCAGATAATAAGAATAACGTAGCAACATTTCAATCAAACAGCAGTTAAAAACATTAAATTCCCTCTTGCTTTGAAGAATGTAGCCTAGAGTAACAGCATCCAATAAAAGTCGAAGTAAACGACCCATCATCTCCTCTTTGAAGGTCTCTCAATACATCACATCAATTTAATTTCTAATTCAAAGGCGTCTTGTAGTCTTTCTGACCGCATGCAGCATTCTGAATTAGACAATGCTGATCAGACAAATGAGCTGTGGCGAAAAAATAAAGCTGTGCTTTAATCAATCAGGTGATATGGTCAAACATTATGCAGTTTTACGTACCTGACACCGCTTTCACAACGTTAATCCATAGGCAGTATCGGCGAACAATGCGGTCGTGTTGCCGGGCACTGTTCCGCTGGCGCACTTTGGGGTTGTGGCTTTAAACGGGTTGCCATTAGGCAGGTAGCAAGTAAAATGGACCCAGAACTTCAATTCCAGTTAAAACGAAAGCACTAACACGCAATATACGCATGTCAAGAATCACTGAAGGTAAGTATCTACAGTTAAACCAAATTTCTATTCATTCTGATATGAATACAATTGTAATCAATACTAGATTTATTGCTGCACCCCAAAAGGGGGTTTCTTTGAAAATGGCATCCTCACACGACGCACCCCATCTTTGTAATGTAAGTTGAAGTGACATTCTGGACACAATATCTTGACGTGAAGAACGTGTTGGTAACCGACTGTCCTACCGTCCTACCACAGTGTTAAGCATTATTAATTAGATAACTAATTTCAACTTCCTCCATTTCACATAAAAGTAATCTGTGATCACACTAAATCCACTCATATAAGAAATGAGCTGATTTCTAATTATTGCACAAAATCACAAGCACTGGAATAAAATCATTAAATCTTTATTGTGATATTAGATCTTCATGTGATCAGAGTAAAAGCTAATCTTGGACTCTCTTTAACACCAGTGTCTCTCAACTGGTGGAGTGTATGGTGGGTCATGAGATGCTCTGCAATGGAAACATCTGTATTAGAACTGCAATGATTAGTCCAATAATTGAGCAAAAACGTATACCAAACATCTGCTTATGTATCGTCTCCAGTGTTAGGATTTACTGCTTGTCTCTATTTTACATCATGAAATATGTAATATTTGGGGAATTTGAAGAAGTCACATTGGGCTCTGTGAAACCTTGTTGGGTATTTTATGTTATTTTGAGACATTCTATTGGGGAAACTAACTGATTAATGGATAAACCAACAAGGCAATTAATCAATAAAAAGGATTGTTATCTGCATTAATCTATATCTCTTAATATGATATTCAATTAAGTACACACTGCTTTAGACTGAAAAGTGTCAGAAAAGGTCTGATCTCTCTATATGCAGAGAACATTGTCCCTTATAAAGAGCAGAACACAACCAGAAAGTCCTGTGAAGTTCTCCTTTTTCAGTTATTGCTGTATTGATGGCGACAGATTCAAGTGCAAGTCTCTTCAAAGGCATGGATGACACTGTCGTATGCAGGAGGGGGAGTCTGTGAGGGCAGGAAACCTTTAAGTCCGTTGTTGCCCAACCAGAAGGAATGTCTTTTGTTTGGCACGAGGGATGCTGAATCTGATGAGTTCGAAGCTGCCGTGTCTTCAGGCACGGCGACCTGAGTGTCCTCTCCCATCTCCAGGCCAGCCCTGCTTCTCTTGGGCAGTGGGCGAAAGGTGGAGGTCTCTACGCCAGGCTTACTCCCCAGTGGCCCCACTGGCTCCAGAGAAGGCTGTCTGTAGACACTCAGAAAAGTGCTTCTGTAAAGGCCTAGCTGGTTGCTCATAGGGTTGTCTTTTTGTGAAGTGCCAGATCTCTTTTTGGAGCGCCTGGTGATCCTGGCGGTGGCCTGGCGTCTGGATGCCCAGGTTAACAGAACATAGACCAAAGCACCCAGCAGCAATCCCACAAGAACAGATAAACAGAATGCTAGAATCATATCGCCTGGAAAGGAAGAAATCAGTGCAGAGTGTCAGAAAAGGGGAAGTACAGAGGGATCAAAATAATGGATGGAAATGTTTAGTAGAATGTGAGGCAGGATGCATTGTGGTGATCTAAAAATGGGGAAGATTATATCCCCAGATGGCTGTTTCAGCTGTGTTTCAAGTTTGAAATAAAATATTATTAGCATAGACAAGGAGCAGTTGCACCAGCTGAATAAAGTACATCTCCTATGTGCCAGACTTGCTTCAAGAAAGGTTATTTTTATTGATTTTCTATTGCTATACACTGCTATACTGGGCACAATGTTATATAAAATCTTACATCATACCTGCGTGTGGGTACACTGTCTACATAGTATCATTGTGTTAAAACACAAACTGACCATATCATTGGTGTGAGGCATTAAAAAAATGACTTTTTATTATTTGTTTCAATCGATTGTTCCTAAAATTGTGTCATACAGTGCTTTAAATGGATATATACTACATAAGTTTCCTGACTTCTCACAAAAAGTTGTTCAAGGCAAGTTTATATGCACCTTTCCACAACAAGAGAATTCAAAGTGCTTCCCATAAGATAAATAGGCGTTTAGATAAGATATAAAAGAAAAACATGGTGTATATAAATAGGATTTGAAAAGAATTCAACTTAACAGAAGATAAAAAATAAGATTAATGGAATAAAACAGAAGAAACATAGGGAGAAATGTTACAGTGCAAAGACAGATATAAATAAAAAAGCCTCAAATTTAACTTAATAAACAGAAATAGCAAACAGGAAGGTTTTAAATATTTAAAAGAACATAGAAGAGTTGTTTTCTGGAAGGTTGTTCCAAATATGTGGCACAAACTAATTGTTTTGATTCTGTGGACAACAACAGACCCTCTTAGTAGGCTGAATGGTTTATATTTTTTATTTTAACTGAAGATATTTTGGCCCTAAACTACTTGAGTGCTTTATTCAGAGCTCATTTGTCGATTTTCCAAATGCAGAGACATCAGACTGACAATAATGAGTTGCAGTAGTCCTTAGAAAGGAGATGAAAATCAAATTTGTTATTACAACTATTATTTGCTATTACAACTGAATTTATATACAACATGCTACTCTTACATTGCAGCTTTAGAAAATAGTCCCTAGTTCTTTACAAGAAACAAACACAGATCAACTCACCAAGATTAAATGATTTTAGTATCTCCAAAAAGGGATGTGTTTCATTATGTGCCATTATTCCACCATAAGCTGGTGTTCGATTCAACACTGACTCCGAGCAGACAGACCAACACTAAGCTTTTTCCAAGACAGGCTTTTTGCTTTTCTTCCTCCACAGTGTTTGGTATGGTGGAAACTTTGCTGTCATGCTTCCTTCCTTCACTGGCTTTAAAATTAGCAAGTGCATTGCTTATCTGTGTGGGACATAACACTGGGAAACAGGGTTGTTTCCTTTTGCATCATTTCCTTAGGATCAATACTTTTCAACAATGGCTTTATTGGTTTATGTAAAGACGTGTTTCTTGTGCTTGACTTTTAAGAAATCAAAACCATTAAATACAACCTTACTACTGACATAAAAACTATTTTTACCAAGTGTCTTGATATGGTTCTGGGTAAGCTAAACCATGAAAAGCCACTAGAGTCTGCAGGCTATCAAGCTCTCAGTCTCTATGGGGATTTCCTTCAATTGTTGCACTGTTCCCACTTCATCTATGTCCGCAGGGTCTTTGGGCTGACATTATCACAAATCAGCCTTCTGCAGCTCAACAGCTGATACAATTTACAACAACTCCCTTTCTATAACCTGATTTATACCTATTCCAAAGACTGTAATATAGCAGGGCCTTTATTATTCACACAGACATACACACACACACGCACGCACGCACACACGTACACACACATACATACATACATAATTATAAGCACTTTTCTTGATTTGAATTCCCCAACCAATTTTATTAAGGATACCATAGATTAGGCAGAAAATTATGCAGAAATCATAATAAGATATTCATATCACAAAGAAGTCCAGCAGGTGGCACTAAAGTACTTACAATGAAGATTGATATGGGAAACTTTAAGTTATTATGTGGCTAATTAATTATACAATCTTGAGAAAGTCACCAGCCGGCCTTCCACAGTTTAGGCAAGAACATGCTTTTTTTCAGAAATTCATGCTTTTCCTCAAATATCACAAACTCCATGTTGCTTGTATAATATTGAATGCGTCCATTCAGTTTTCTCAGGACCAGTTGGAGCTTCGTTTCTTACCATTTCTTTATCTACTGAACAAAGAGGATAAGAGCCCCATGCAATGAATAAGGGCTGCAACAAATCACAATCACAAATCACTACTTAAAAACTTACAAACTTAATAACATTTTTAACTGCAGACCTGCTGGTTTAATAGAAGGTGATCATGTGACTTCACAAATTGGGGTCCAGATGGTCTGCAGTCTTTCCCCCCCTTTTCTAATCTTCCTGATTAATTAAAGAACTATCTGAAAGGACAAAGCAAGTGCCATGCTGGAAGAGGACTTTCCACAACCCAATGTCTTATTCCTGATCAATAAGGCATTAGTAAATTATTTATTAACCATTAATAAAGTGATTAGTTTCAACCAGTAGTGGAATGTAACTAAGCACATTACTCAAGGTATTTGTACATTACTTGTGCCTTGCCAATTTTTTGCAACTTTTCTTGTACTCCGCTATACACCAGAGAAAAAATCCATTACAGTTGTCTAACAGCTTTAGTTTTCAGATTACAATTGTTTGTATATCTAAATTTGCTGATTTTTTTTTTGAGAAATTGAATTAAACCCATTAAGGAATGTGTTCCTTAATGGGTTTAGAGAATTCTTTAAAATCCAGCTTGGACTAGCTGGAATATGCATCATCACAAAACTGAAAACAGGGCTCATGAAAAGTTTACTTTTTTAGAGATACATGCTGCTATAAGCATGGGATGATCTTATAGACTATGATGCACTGCTGTAGATTAAACTACTCAGCAGTATTTAAAGTAAGTTAAAACTAGCACAACCTTAAACATCTACAGCAGTAAAATGCAACATACACACATTGACAGGGACCACTTTTCTGCTCAATGAGTAGGCCTACTTACTTTTGTTACTTGCTGATACATACTTTCACTTAAGTCATGTTTTGAATACAGGACTTTTATTTGTCAGTGGAGTATTTTCAAAGTGTGGTATGGATACTTGCTTAGCCTAATAGCCTAAAGGATCTGAATAGGCTAGAACCTACACCTTCCATGACTTACAGCTTCTCAATTGTACATAAAGGGTAGGTTACCTTTTCAGAAAGTGGTAACGTTAGCCTACCCTTTTTATGTGACTCGAATTTCTTCAATTAGCAGAGTAATCTTTACATTTTAGGATATTACCCCTTTTTTATCCCTTTTATTTTATTGTATTTTACTAACTTTATATTTATCTTAAACGTGTATTTTAGTCTTTTCAATGTTTTCATGCTTTTATCTTGTATTGTTTTTGTATTATTGTCTCTTGGGTATTATTGTCTTTACACTTGTTAAAGCACTTTGTAACTTGTTTTTGAAAAGTGCTCTACAAATAAAGATTATTATTATTATTATTATTATTATTATTACTGCACATAATATCACAAAACTGTCTGTATAGGTCGCTATAAACTCACTGTGAAGTGCCACAAAAACCTTGGGAGAGAGAGAGATACACCAGGAATTCCTCACTGTTCAGCCAGAGAATGAGCCCCTTTGTCCCTAAAAATTAAGGGGACAGGAACTAGACCAAACATTTCCGACCCCTCCTTCTGTAGTAGGCTAGTTTATGCAGTTTGCTGCCAGCAGCGTGGCGCACTTCTTGTGGCTACAAACTTCACGACTGCTGCTTCGCGTCACTTCACCATGTTTCATTTTCACCGTTACCACTGGCAACAAGGCAACACAGAGCGACTTCCTCTGTGAGCTTATCATGAAAGTGGTAAGATGACATGTATGCAAGTTTGGATTTCATTGATATATGTGTGCTTGTTGGTTGTTAGGGTTAGGGTCCTACTTACGCAAGCGTCAATTTAGTATTTTTGTGAGCGTTGATGCTTTAAAGCTACTTCTCCTTTGAGTTTGTGGCGTTTAAGGAACTTCCTCTCGTGTTGAACTGGCGCTAATATTCTAACTTCACTCCCTTCCTCCACATCATTGGAGTAGCTATACAGGTCTCCAACTTTGTTTGATAAATTCTAGTTACGTGTTAAATATCTGTATGATAATTTAAAATGTGCATAACAAGTATACATGTTATTTGGAGGCAAACGTTTGTGCGTAGCTAACTTTGTCATTTTTTGAGTTAATTCAGACATTTTCTCACTCTGCAATTTTACTTCCTTTTTGACTGTCATTAAAGTGCTAATGTATTTATACTTTAGCACAAGAAGAAATGCAGTTGAATTTTTTATTCTTACACATTTTTATAGTTATTCACTTTCCATTTTACTTGTAGGCTATATACTGTGTGGTTGTTCCTGTTAGTTATAGTTTTGTGTTAATGTTTGCTTATCTTTGTTATCTCTGTGTAGCTGTATGTCTATATTTATACGTGTGTCTTCATTTATTCGTGATACTTATTGAGAGCTGATAGCAACCAGTCAGCTGCCTTGTATGTGTCAACAGAAGTCAATGAAGTCTGTAAAATTCTGTGATAAAGGCTTGTTGAATGGCTACACAACTTCTTTTGTCACCATGTACAAAAAGACTCACCACTTAGTTTGTTGTCTTAGTTAGGGTAATTCACTTTTATTTATACGTGGGAAACTCACTGAAAGCAAACGCTTTTGCAAGAAGGCCCTGTCTACAGTGGTATGCAAACAGTATTGAGGGGTAACAAGTAGTAGTTACACAAGAAAATGCAAAATCACAAACAAGAGGAAAAACAACATTAAAAAAACAATGAAATTTTCAGTAAAAGCATAAAAGTATCAATGTAAACAGTCACATGTACATCGTGGTACTCTTTCAATAATTGATGCAAATTGTAAGAAACTAAAACTTCCCTACAGTGGTCTTAATATAAGCATTCAACATGAAAATAAGTTTATGAACAAGAAAAAAGTTAAATAACTTAGTTGGTCCCCAAATGCGGCCTATACACTTTTGATAAGTTAATAAACGGTGAGCAAAACAGTGTAGTGTGTGGCCTCAGTTGAAAACCTCTTAACATACTTCTCTTTTGCAGGCACTGAATGGAAGAAGTGCTTCTATTGGACAGTAAACCTGCTTATCCCTGCATGAAACCTGAGATTCAATTGGACCTGGTCCTGCAGTGAGATTAGAAAGAGAGAGAGAAAGTGAGAGAGAGAGGAGGATAGAGAGGGAGGGGCAGAGGGGATGTCCCGTTCAGGACAGTTGTTAAGGATCTTCTGCTCTCAGCATCAGTGACCCACCTTGTCATACAGCTGCAGCGAGACAACATGGCCTCTCCAAGGCACTTCGGCCGAGGGTCTGTGGACATCGCTAATGTGATGCAAAAGCTGCAAGGTAAATGTCATTCTTCTTCCATAGCTGGGTTATGGACATTCTCTCCTGCTGCGCTGCTGCACAGTAATATTGTGCTGATTCAATGCCTGGGCTGCGTGCCATCTGAAGTTTGCCAGCTTTTGCAAGCAGGATGCTCACACATGCTTACACAAACCTCAACACACACACTTACTCGCATAGGAGCATTTAGACATACAGTTAGAAAGTGTATCATTCAAATTAAACTATTTCCATTGTTGCTTACTAGGATTATGAGAATGGTTTATCCTTCCAGTTAAGGGTCTGTCTGTTCCCTGTGTACCTAATTTTACTTGTCTCTCTGCATTCTGTGTTGCTGGTAAACACTGAAAGAGTTATTAAATTAACACATTGCAATGTAAAGTATGTTTTTTAATACTTATAATAATGCTAAGTTACAATCCTACACTGCATAACTGGCCTGTTTTCAAGCACTTTGAATCACTTGTAGCCTTTGAGAGCTTTATAGAATCACACATTTGGGTAATTTAATTTAATATGCACATGGCCTTTTGTCTAGGTTTATTTTTTCCGAAGATAGCACATAATCATATTTGGAATAATAAGAAAATGAATGTTCATTCTTGCGAAATCTTGTGACCAAACTACAAAAAGACATACTAGACTACATTGTTTGGCGGCCTAGATAGAGTAATTAAGAAGGTATTTAGAGGAACATGATTCATTTGATTCAGTGAAACATTTTGTGAAATTCCTGCTCTCAAGACATGAATCCGAGCTCTGCTTTGATCACTTTGTCTTCACATCTTTAAATCAGAT